TTTACTTAGTACAGATCTTGTCTTGAGGTTGATCTTCACTGTACTTCGGATGAGGAGACTGAGAGTAGTCTAGTGTTATTAATAAGTAGTAGTGGGCTCTGAAACTTGGTAGCTGTGTGTTGTGACCCAGGTTCAAGGCTGTTTCCCTGTTTGCCTGTTAATTGAATTCCCATTTTGCAAGTGTTTTTTTTTTTTGAGACAGAATTTTGCTCTTGTTGCCCAAGCTGGAGTTCTATGGCGCAATCTCAGCTCTCTGCAACTTCCACTTCCCAGGTTCAAGTGATTCGTGATTCTCCTGCCTCAGCCTCCTGAGTAGCTGGGATTACAGGCGCGTGCCACCACGCCTAGCTAATTCTTTGTATTTTTAGTAGAAACGGGGTGCACCATGTTAGCCAGGCTGGTTTCCAACTCCTGACCTCAGGTAATCTGCCCACCTTGGCCTCCCAAAATGGAAGGGATTACAGGTGTGAGCTACTGCCTTAAATGCTGGGATTACAGGCGTAAGCCACTGTGCTGGCTGCAAGTTTTTTTTTAAACCTTAGCTTAGTGGTTTTTAAGTAATGTTAGGCAGTGCACTGGGGGTTTCCAGGAGCTAACTCCTTAGCAGATAGTTCAGCCAAAATAGTTTTTAATTTCTCTTTCTGGGGGTGAATCTTTTCCTCTGTTCATTATTGGTAACAGACTTTATGGTAAACAGTATATTTTGAGGAATATTTTTATTAGTTGGTAAATTTTAGCCTTAGAAAAATAATCAAAAAGAAAAATGTCATCTTTTTGAATATTTTCCTATTGTTTAATCATGTTTGTTGCTGGGTCATATCAGTTTCATCATGCTGCCTATTAGGCCAAAAGAATTTCCTTTTGGTTAAATAACTCAGGTTAGTAAAGTACTTCTTAAATTTTACTTAAAATTGACATGGCTTTTAAAATACTGGTTTTACAAGATGTATTTAAATAATATATAGATGGTACCAGTGTTAGGTTTTGGAATTAAAAATTTTACATTGTTTATTGCATTTCTATATTTTTGACTTGGGGCCAAATGAATTGGTTGTTTAGAGTCTGCTTGCCTTAGAGAAAAGTACAGCATGGTACTTAAAAACACCTCTAACTTTTGTTTTTCTAACACCCAGATTCTGGAGACTTTGGTTGCAGCTAGACCTTAGTAAACCAGTACAATGATATTACATATTACAAAAAAAGTTAACCCCAAGATCATCAGAAGTCATAAAATTCAGGGTTAGTGGCAAGATCTGAGAGATAATCTAGTTAGTTAGATCTCTTCATTTTCCTTATGTGGAAACTGGTTTAGTGAGGTTAGTTACAGCTTGCTCATAGGTAGTTAATGGCAGAATTCGAAAGGAGAATCTAGGTCTAACTTCTCATACTGTGTTCCTTATATCTTACTCTACAAGCGTAAGTGCAGCTACTGAAAATAGAATTTAAATATTTCTATTTAAAATACAGAATGATTCAGAATAACTTTAAAACTTGTATACCTAGATTTTAATTTTTCCGTCTTAAAGAGCTCTACAACATCAAAGGCAGTCAAACAGAGACATCCTTGGGTTTGTAAATCTCAGCTCAGGTTATCTGTGAATCTTGGGTAGTTTATATCTCTCATCAACTCTCCTTTAGATTCTACCTTTTTGCCCATTCTGTCTTCTACTTCTGATATATGAAATAAAGCAAAGAGATTGAAGGGAGGCATTTTGAACTTACATGACTTTTTAAATTTTCTTTTGGAGAAAAAGAAAATACAAGGAACATGGTAGCGGGGAAATGGATTTCTCCATTTATAGCATGATTTTTGCAAATGCAGTTAAATGCAAGTTCTCTGAGGTTCAGGGACTACCTTTGTAATATCCATCTTAAGAGGAGTGCCTGTCTAAATAGAATGTCAAGTTATATACTACTACTCTGGAATTTAATTAATTGATTGGTCCATTTTTTTTCTTTAAAAATATATTTTTGTGTATGCACGTGAACCAGGGGACCCCTCTGCCCCCAAATAGGTTTAGAGTGACTCTTGATTATTTTTAAAATAACCTTGTTATTTTGGCATAATTTTAGATTTACAGAAAAGTTGGCAAAGTACTATAGGCAGTTATTGTTTTTCTCGCACCCATTTTCCCCTGTTGTTAGCATCTTATGTTACCGTAGCATATTTGTCAAAACTAAGAAACTGACATTGGTATATTACTGTGAACTCGACTCCAGACTATTTGGATTTCACCAGTTTTTCTGTTATCCTCTTTCTGTTCCAGGTTCCACATGCCTCCTCGGGTCTGTGACAGTTTCTTGGGCTTTCCTTGTTTTTTTATGAGCTTGAGTCTTGAATAGGATTGTCCAGGTATCCTGTAGACTGTTCCCCCAATTTGGATTTGTCTGGTGCTTTTCACGTGATTGGACTGGGGTTTTGGGTTTTAAGTGCCCATTTTGTCACATTGTATCAGGGATTGCACATATGTGATAACCACATGACATCACTGGTGGTGTTTGGTTTAAGATAGTGTTTGTCAGGTTTCTCCACTGTCAACAGCGCTACTATTTTTCCATTTCCATACACTGTTCATGGGAAATAGGTCACCAAGTCCAGCCTACCCTCAAGGGTGAAGGGCAGGACTTAAGCGCCACATTCTGGAGGGAGCACTTTGTTGCTTTCTGGTACTATAACATGCTCTAGGCTTGTCTTGCATTTTCCCTGCTCCAGTCCTAGAATTATCCATTCTCCAAGGAGCCCTGTTTCTTGTTATTGGAGAATGGTATATAGAAATTAAGATCTGGGCACTGAGTGTGCTTACTGCTTCTTGGCCCTTTCACTGATAAAAGTGGGTAACATTTTATGTATGCTAACCCATGTGTATGCACATATTTATAACTTTTTCTGTCTAATCATTTGTATTAAGATAAACATGAATTCATACAGATGTCTCTGACTTGCATCTAGTACCACAGGATTCATTTTTGGCTTCCTTTCTGATGTACCTATATCTTTACTCTCTGAGAGTGAGAAACCTGGTTTTTATCATCAGTTTACTTAATTGTTCAGCCCCAGTATATGTTAAAGCAGTTTCAAAATTTTGAATCCGTACTACTGTGAAAAGTAAATTTACCAGCAAGAGTGTAGTTTTTATGTATTGGGTAGTTCCTTTTTATCTCTAACCTTCTAGATTTAGTTTTTGCGCATTAGATGCCCTTTCTCTCCTGCTCTGTTGCAGGTACTTGTGATTCTGAGGGCCTACGCTATCCATCAGTCCTTTTGAGTTGTCACTTTCTGAGGCTACTGAGATGAATTCTGTCATGGAGAAACACAGAAGAGTAGTTACCAGCGAGCCACAAGATTTCTAAGATGAATTTTCTGGTGTAGGATGTGTGATTTTTAATTTTTTTATGCCAAATATACAACTTCTATATTCACAGTAATACTTTACAAATTACCCTATATTGTAAGTCCTTTGTGTGCTAACTGAACATGAGATAGCCCAGCAATCCTAACGGGACAGTAGGTAGTGCCTTCCACATAGCAACCGGAGTCCCTTTGCCCTGGTTTCTGAATATTCCTCAGCAGTCTGCTAAAACATACTTTTACCCACTCTTAGGTTTATTTTGTCAGTCAGTGTTTATATCTTTTTAAGTTCTTTATTTAATTTTTACTTTAGGAAGTAAAGGCTTTATAAGGGAGCCAGACTTGACTTTTACCAAAATCACAGCTTAAAATTTTTTTGGCTAAGTACAGAAAAATTATATGTGTATTTACAGAACTTACATTTCTGTAATAGTCTTTTATTCTTTTATCAGCCAAAACTCTCCTGAGGTCTGTGTTTTGTATTTGAGGAATTTTGGGTTTTAATTTCTTAAAATCTCTTGAATTCTAGTGAGTTATAGATTCCATAGGGTCGTACTTGTTTTCCAGTCTAGGAAATGGTTTAAAATAGCTGCCTGGTGCTAATGTTGGAATGTTCCTAGAAAGTATGTTTCCTTGTATCTTAAGTCTAGAGCATGTTTGGAAAGGATTCAAGAATTAGAGGACATGCTTGCTAAAGAAAAAGACAACTCTCGTCGCATGCTGACAGACAAAGAGAGAGAGATGGCGGAAATAAGGGATCAAATGCAGCAACAGCTGAATGACTATGAACAGCTTCTTGATGTAAAGTTAGCCCTGGACATGGAAATCAGTGCTTACAGGAAACTCTTAGAAGGCGAAGAAGAGAGGTAAGGAACTTAAGGGTCACCCTACCTTATGGTCCACTTTTTGCCCCTCACCCTTTTTATTTAAATAAAAATAAATAGCATTTTTAAAAGAACTTTATTTTCTTGGTCCTTTCTTTTAACACCTAGGTATAGAGGTGGTAATAGATCATATTTCTACTGCAACACAGAAAATGTTGCTCAAGTACTCTTAGTTTATTGTTATTACTTTAAATGCTGAACTGCGTCAGGATGGATTTCCTTTGAGATTTTAAGTGTTTTGGTGATTTATTGTATTATAAAATACCAAATTGGCTGAAAGAGACTTTACATTTTATTTATTTATTTATGTATTTATTTATTTATTTTTGAGACAGGGTCTTACCCTGTCGCCCAGGCTAGAGTGCAGTGGTGTGATCTCGCCTCACTGCAACCTCCACCTCCTGGATTCAAGTGATTTTCCTACCTCAGCCTCCTAAGTAACTGGGATTACAGACGTGTGTCACCACACCTGGCTAATTTTGTTTTTAGTAGAGACGAGGTTTCACTATGTTGGCCAGGCTGGTCTCAAACCCCTGACTTCGTGATCCACCCGCCTCAGACTCCCAGAGTGCTAGGATTACAGGCATGAGCCACCTCGCCCGGCTGGCTTTATATATATTTTAAATCTGGTCAATGTATAAATCTTTTTGACGCCTGTTCTCAGAAAAGAGTTCCAAAAGGGCCAGGTGTGGTGGCTCATGCCAGCACTTTGGAAGGCCAAGGCAGGTGGATCACCTGAGGTCAGGAGTTCAAGACCAGCCTGGTCAACATGGTGAAACTCCGTCTATTCTAAAAATACAAAAATTAGCTGGGCATGGTGGTGGGCTCCTGTAATTCCAGCTACTTGGGAGGCTGAGACAGAATTGCTTGAACCCGGGAGGTGGAGGTTGCAGTGAGCCAAGATTGTGCCATTGCACTCCCGCTTGGGTGACAAGAGTGAAACTCTGTCTCAAAAAAAGAAAAAAAAAAGTTCCGAAAGGAAAGTGGCTGATTTAGGATAAAAAGCCAGATAATTTTAATATATATCCATTGTGATAATAAGAAAATACAGGTATGAAAAGAGAAAAACGTACACCAACTATAACTGGCTGTGGTGGGTGGCAGTAGATCAGATGACTTTCTACCTGTTTACCAGACTTCTTGCATTATGGTTATATTACTTCTGTCCCTAGAGAAAACATTCAGATTGTTATTTTTTTAAAAGGAAAATTGTTGATGGGCACCTTATGAAGAAGCTTACATTAGTTAAGGTAAACTTTGGCTTTGGCTAACAGATTGTAAGTAATATTTTGCTTTAGAAATGCATGGATGGGATATTATTATTATTATTTTTATTATTATTATTTTGAGACAAGTTTTCACTCTGTCACCCAGGCTGGAGTGCAGTGGTGTGATCTCGGCTCATTGCAACCTCCGCCTCTGGGGTTCAAGCCATTCTCCTGCCTCAGCCTCCCGAGTAGCTAGTATTACAGGTGCCCGCCATCAAGCCTGGCTAATTTTTGTATTTTTAGTAGAGATGGGGTTTCACCATGTTGGTCAGGCTGATTTTGAACTTCTGACCTCAAGCAATCCACCTGCCT